TTTTGGTATAGATATCATGGTGGCCTCGACGGCCCAATCAGGACTTCTGTACTAGTTGTCTATTTATTTATATGATCTCCTGGGAGTAGCTGTTTCTTTTATAGATCAGTTGACAGGGGCCTTGCCGGCCGATGACTTAGTTTTAAGCCGAGATATACTTGTTTGATTTCTTGATTGCGTGTGGCTGCCATGCGCTAGTAGCAAATGGATCAGCAGGGTCGGCTCGGACCTGAGTTTTGGCATTAGGAGCCAGTTGCGTCCCTCGAGTTTGGGGCGTGACAAAGAGAGAAGTTACTATGTGTATTATTTGGCGTTGCAATGAGTTTTTATATTGAAAATGTACTCCCTTCGTCCTATTTTATATGTCATTCTTTTCTATAAATAGTTGGACCATAATACTTGTTATTTTATAAAATCTATGCATAAATTACCATATTTTGCTTATTATACCCTTGAAAGAATAGTTAATTAATCTTGTCATTTATTAATAAATTGACTTAAGCAAACATTAAATAAGGGTAGAAGGGTAAAGTTACATCATTTCTTAATGCAAGTGCAAAGTAAAAATGTGACATATAAAATGAGACGGAGAGAGTAATAGTTTAGAGGATAGGAACAACATCCCATAATTTAAGTATCAAATAACCTATACATAAATTGTTTCGAAATGTTTATAGATATCAACTCTTATATAATTTTACCAAATAGGTAAATTATAGTTCATAAATGAGATATCGAAATATTCTAAGCCGTCAATTAATAAATTGCATATGCTCGTGTTCCTTTTATAAGTAAGTGTTTGGACATATGATTTCATATCGAAATATGAAATCATGATATCTTCGTCCTTGAGCTATTGAGTATGAGTTTCTTACTTAAACTATCACACAATAGTAAGTGAACACAACTAGACGTTGACTAGAGCAAATGTTTGTCTAAAAATGCTCTAGGTATGTTTGTTCATAAAATCTTCATCCACTTGACATATATAATAACTTTTTTTGCCAAAACATTAATTTTAAATTTTTTAAAATATATTTTTAGTTTACTTCTTGAAAACTCTAAATTCTACCCTTTCAAATCGAGATATCGATATCACGATAGATGAGAGACAATAGCTATGAATGTGGGGAAGTAGATGGTCCGAAACATTAATTTTAATTTTTTAAAATATATTTTTAGGTTACTTCTTGGAAACTCTAAATTCTACCCTTTCAAGTCGAGATATCGATATCACGATAGAAACGAGACAATAACTAAGAATGTGGAGAAGTAGATGGTGAATGTCATGGTTGAAATAAATTAATTTATACAATAATAAATTTTAATCTTTAACCTTAACTTTTAACCTAATATTAATTTACCACAGTGAAATTGTTTTTCAATTTGGACGGTCATACACCATAATCTTTAAACAAAAGAAAGAGTGTACACACATCATAGTTGTGATTTTACAAACTATTAAATGCACATGATTTTACAAAAAATTACTAATTCAATATTCAACCCGTAGTAGTCACTAGCTACCCTCTAATAAAATCCTCACCTAATACGACAATCTATTCATGTCAAATATAAATTTATAAATAAAATTTTTAAAAATCTAAAATCATGATTGTTTGAATAGGAAATTTTATACAAATTTCATAAATAAAAAAACTATTTAAAATCAAAACTTGAAATCATGCTTCCAAGTTCTATGTCCAAACTCCAAACACCAAACACCTACCATTTTTTATTTTTTCGAAAAAGTAATAGTACCAACTACCAAAAACCAATTGAAAAATAAAGGGAGTAGAAATGTAAGGATATGACACAGGTGTAGAAAGAGCATCAATTGGCCTCACACTGCGGCGTTTTCTACAACAGAAAACACCGACATAGGATGCTCCGTCGTTTTGTCCCCATCCGATTCCCCTCGAGATTTCCACTCTTAACGCACCAACAGTCCACTATTTTGCTGATGACCATTATCCTATCTTCTTCTTATCCAAACAACCAAATCATCCTTCCTTCTTTCTCGCATTTAATCCTTTACTCAAGTATCTTCACACAACAATAAATTCCTCACCACCATAGATTACCTTTCATCTCCTTTTCTATTTTATCCATATCAAAATATTCATCTTCTTTCACCTTTCTGGGTAATCGATTTATCGCTTGTATTTTATTTTTTTTTGGTTAATTTGATATAGATGTAGGATGGTGTTAGTTGAGGAATTTTTGGAGATTCTTGAAAGACCCACCATAGGTGCAGTATTTGTAGAGATTATGGTGTTTCTTGGTCCTGTTTGGATTGCTTTTCTTGTGGGTATTACGGTGGGATGGATTTGGAAACCTAAATGGGCTGCATGGAAGAATTGTAAATTTGATTTTTCAGTACCTTCTTCCCCCTCTGCTTCGGTTCCTTCTACCTCCAAACCCCTGGGTTTTCAGTCCTCCGAGGCTCCTACCCCTAGTTTTGCTTCTTATGCGGATGCTGGCTCAGAGATTGAACAATTTGACAGTGGGTAAGCTCTATTCATTATTTCAAATATAAAAGTTTATGCTTTGTTATACTTTGTTTGGGTGGTTGTTACATATTGTTGCTTAATGTATTGTATTGTCTTGATGAATACAATGTTTGGATAGATTGTATCGGTTCTTGTTAAATAGTGTCACACATGAGCAATATGATGGACAAATCTACAATAGGATTATTAGATAACAAGCAAAGATAATATGAGAAGAAAAAGATAGGTAATGAGGCGATAACACCAAATCGGTTGTTACATACTTTTTGTTGTTATGGAACATGGATTTAACAATACGATATAGTAAAATTTAAGTAACAATCGAAACAAACATTGCATTCAAACCAGCAATACAATACAATGCTGACTCTGGTTGTTCAAGTTCGAGAATTTTTCAATAATTTTGGTTTCATCTTGATTGGATGGGGTCACTACTCACTACTCACACTGTTTTCCCTTTTTCTGTCTTAGTCCATCGAGGCTGAATACTTTACCAATATCAGATGAAGATTTGGATCATTTGTGGCATCTTGTTGAGAGGAAAGATGGAGGCCCTACGTGGAAACACATGATGGATCATTCCACCCCTAATATGAGCTATCAAGCGTGGCAGCGTCATCCGGAGGTAGTAAAGCCTATAGTCTAATGTATTGCTATATCTTTTCCCCTTTGCCTGGCTTGCTTATTGATTTTTCCTTGTTGTTTTTCTAGACTGGTCCCCCTCAATATTGCAGCCGAACTGTGTATGAGGACGCAACACCTGAATTATTGAGGGATTTCTTTTGGGATGATGAGTTTCGAGTGAAGTGGGATGACATGCTTGTACATGCTGAAACGATAGAAGAGTGCCCCACAACAGGAATGATGGTAGTACACTGGGTTCGAAAAGTAAGAATATGCAATGTACTCTTTTGTAAACTCGGTATTTTGTTTAGCTAATAAGTAGTTAATTCATTTGGATACTTGTTGTGCAGTTCCCGTTTTTCTGCAGCGACAGAGAATATATATTTGCTCGTCGAATATGGGAGTCAGGAAGGTCATATTATTGTGTAACAAAGGTACAGAACTTCAAGTAGTTTCCCTTCTTTTGTTCTTATTTTGTATAATATTGTATTCAAATGAGCTTAAACGGAGCAACATGGTTTCATATAGCCGATCCTTTTTTCTTTTGATTTAGATGTTTTTCTCGTTCTGACTCTTCATTTCTTCAAGTATTCAGCCGATAAGGTGGCAAATTACTATGTTTAAGTTGGTCTCATGTTATGCTTACACACTGCCTATTTGTCTGATTGATGACGTGCTGTTTGCTTGAGTTCTTCCATAAATGAATCGGTCTAGGGCCTGTGAAATGGATGAATATGTTAGTAGAATTGTTGGCTGATATCATTAGGTGCAGAGTCCATGATGCAACTTTGAGTCATTCAAAGACCTTGGAGTTGTTTAGTGGATGGCATCTCTTGTGGAAATTCCTATTTGATCTAGGCAGCACAATTGTCAGGTTATCTAGTTGTGAGATCATACCTATTGTGGCACCGACGCTTAAGCTGGTCCTAGATACAGTAACAAGGAGCCACAAGACAATGATTCTTTTTGAAACATAATATTAAAAAAATAGTTCTGTGAAGAGTGTAGTTGATGTCAGTTTACTTGCTTGGGATTCTCTAACTTCCACAAAATCCTTCTTTGGACTTCAATTAGAGAAATGGAGGATGGGCAGAGCTTGAGAGGCCTGAAACATCAAAAGTATTCTCCTTCTATGCCACAGTTAACGGACCACCTGAAAACATTTAACCATCCCCTTCACCCCACCCAACGCCACAAATTAATGGAAAGAAACCAATGAATTGCTACACCCTTGTTTATTAATCCTCTTCCATTTGACTCTGAGCTGATTTTCCTATATTTGGAGGTCCCCTCTAATTATGATTTTCCTTGTGATTTGTTAATCAGGGAGTGCCATGTCCTACTATTCCCAGGAAGGACAAACCAAGACGTGTTGACCTGTACTATTCAAGTTGGTTCATTCAAGCTGGTATGACCTTACTTCCTTCTTTGAATTCCTTTTTCTTTTCCAGGTTGGGAAATTAACTTACCATGCTTTTGCTTTCCCAACTAGCTAGCATATCTATGAATTAGAATAGACATGTGCATTAGCTTGACTGGCATCATCCTGTTCAATTTCTTAACAATGCATGCACATTGACCTACTGGGAATGAATTTCCTGCAATTCCTTATCAACTTATCTGCAAGTGTCGCTCACAAGATTTAGACTTAAAAGTCTTGATCATCTGACTCTGAATTCCATCTGTACTGCATGAAACAGTGGAATCAAGGGAAGGAAATGGCCAGCTGACTGCATGTGAGGTGCTTCTCTTCCATCACGAAGATATGGGCATCCCATGGGAAATCGCAAAATTTGGGGTAAGGCAAGGTATGTGGGGGGCTGTAAGAAAGATTGAACGTGGACTTCGTTCCTACCAGAAATCAAGAGCATCTAACGCGAAGATCTCTCACTGTGCTTTGATGGCCCAAGTAAATACGAAAATTGATCCAGAATACTTGAAGTCAACGGATGGGAATGAGGAATCATCAGGGACTGACATAGAGATTTTACCTGCAAAACGTGAGGGCAGTATAAACATACCAAAGCTACTTATCATTGGCGGAGCTTTGGTTGTTGCTTGTACTCTTGACCAAGGAATCATACCCAAGACATTTTTGTTTAATGTAGCGAAAAGGTTTGGAAATATAGGGAAAAAAGCAAGTCCAAGGCCATGACGGATAATTTCATTAGTGCGATGATTTTGTTGTACATAACCTATTCCATCCCCCCCTTTTAGCGTAGTGTTAGTGATCGATAAAAGCAATGACTTTTAAGTGTAACACAAGCTGAGTATTATTGATCAATACAAGCGCGGCACAGATTATCATCTGCTTTACTCAGGCCTTTGATTCTTAATCACTAGACTGTCCACAAGAAGTTCTTACCATATGACTACTGTTCATGTGAGTCATATTGTAGAGAGCTTACTACCCCCCTTTATAGTCGCAAGCTTACTAGTCCGGCCTTTATAGTCGCATCTGTTGTCCTGGGAAAAGAGTTTGTTAAATTTGAATTTGGTTGGATTTCAACATGGATATCCACCGGAAAACAAAAAATGAGCCAAAAAGAATAGAAGTCCAAAGCTAAGGGATACAGACGAGAAAAGTAAAGAATTATCACATCGTAATTTCAACTCGAAGAAAGGGGTAAAATAGTGGAATTACATTAACGTGCACTAGACGAAACATACAGCATATTCCCTGCTTTTTCAATCTCTTTGTTTCTTCCTCTAGAAAAGATGGGAAACAGATTTAAAGAAAGAAATGTGGATGGAAGTTGTTCAAACAAGAAATAAAAGAATTTAATACAACTAAATTGTATCAACCTCCATGATGGCCGTGGGCTAATTAGTTACAGTCAGACAAGAATAAATAATTTCAATCTTTTAGACTTTATGTAAAAATCAATAGGGAAGAATTGTTTCGAAACAGTGGACCCCATCCAATTCCGGTGCAAACCTCAGCCTCCTCCTTTGCTGCTGTGGACGCGACGGCGATTTTGAAGATGACGGCGCCGCTGCCTCTCCGGCCTTGTTCAGTTCACCAGGTGAGGAAGTAGACGGCGGAGAAGCGGCGGTCTTGCGATCGGATACAAGAGGAGCCAGACCTTGTTGTTGTTTGTTGTCAGAAGAGGCCGGTGCCCAAGAACGGCTTACCTTTAGGCCAAAGATCTCAGCGGAGAGAGCATCAAAGGAACTGAAAATTGACATCATCATCTTTGTTGCTATTTTTTTCTTCTAATTGGGTAAACAAATAACAAGATGAAAATGTATTGGATTTGGTTTATGTAAGAAGCGTAAGCGATGTAAAAACTTGAGAATGAAGAAAAGAAGTTGGAGAAGTAGATGTATTTAATAAGGGAGGGGTTAAATTTTGGAATCCGTGTTGCCGAAGTAAAATTGGGGAACAAAAGTGGAAAGAGGAGAAAGCAAGTTGCCGTTAATTCCCTTTCCAAGTATAATTGGTAGTATTTGGTGGAATTAGTCTTTTGGAATTACCCATAAAAAGGGTTTATATTTTAAATATATTTTAAAAATAGCTTTTCATAAAATGGTTTTGAAAAATAATAATTTGTATTTGATTAATTTATTTGAAAAAAATATTTTTGATAAGCATATTGTGTTTGGCTAATCATTTAAAAAAAAAAGTATTTTTGATAGTCAAATTACGAAAAATGACAAGCAATGCACTTCTAATACTAAGATTATTTTATTTAAAAAAATATTTTAAATATTTATTATAAAATTATTTTTGTTAAATTAAAATGTACATATTCAAATTTTCAATGAATATTGTAAAAAGATAAATAAAAATAAAAATTAAATATTAATATAATATTAACATAATAATTTAAATATAATTAAAAATATCAAACAAAATAAATTTAAAAATCATTCCACAAATTAAATCACCACATATGAAAATTCACCATAAAAATAAATAAATATAAGAGACACATGGGTAAATATGTATAAATGGCAAGGATAATTTGATTTTGAAAAAAATAAATTTTGGTTTCTGCTTTTTATAAGAAGTAGATTTTTTTTAGCTTCTTCTCAAAAACAGAAAAACTGTTTATATTTCTAATTAAAAACAGTTTTACTAATTAGCCAAATACCTTAATTTCTTCCCCCAAAAAAAATATTTTATCTCAAAATAAGTGTTTTTAATTTTAAAAAAATCGCAATTTTGGGACTTAGAAGGACGGCAGGATTGGTTGAATTGAGTTTGAGCTATTTTCAGAAGTTTTGCATGCGAAATCAGGTCATAGTTATGCATACTTTAATCATATTATTTAATTAATTTAGCGTAGAATTAAAAATTACAGATCACCACGAAATTGGGATAACTCATGCAAAAATTTGTTATAAGTTACTTGGTTTGGAATAAATTGAGTTTAAATAAAATAAAATGCAGATCAAAATTTAACTTGTTCAATTTTTACTATGCTTTTAATTGCTTTATTTCTTCTTTTATAATTTTTTAGTATCTACTAAAATATTAACAGTATTTTTCTTTATTATCAAATAAAAAATTATCTTTTAAAAAATATTTTGATGAGATTGTTCTTAGATCAATTTAGGTTAAATATCAATTTAAATTTTAATAAATTAAATTAAAATAGACTAAATTAACAAATGAATAAATCAGTAATCAATTTAAATTTAATGAACTAATTTTTTCACCACTATTTTAAAATGGCCACTATCTTATGAACGCGTCACGACTCGCGAGTCTTCTATTTTTGGAACGACATGATATTTTTCCTTCCGGATTAAATGGGAAGCTGCCTAATTCCATTACGTGGAAGCTTTTTATTAGACACACAATTTAACTAGTTAAATTCTCTTATATAAGTCACAAATATAGTTTAGAATACTTGTATTGGACAAAATTCGTGGAATCAATTACTATATATTTATATTAAGATAAACGGTTTATATCACAAAATTTAAAGTTGGACACTTTTTAAAATTATATGTAAAAGCGGAATACTTAACACATATGAAAATTCACCATAAAAATAAATAAATATAAGAGACACATGGGTAAATATGTATAAATGGCAAGGATAATTTGATTTTGAAAAAAATAAATTTTGGTTTCTGCTTTTTATAAGAAGTAGATTTTTTTTAGCTTCTTCTCAAAAACAGAAAAACTGTTTATATTTCTAATTAAAAACAGTTTTACTAATTAGCCAAATACCTTAATTTCTTCCCCCAAAAAAAATATTTTATCTCAAAATAAGTGTTTTTAATTTTAAAAAAATCGCAATTTTGGGACTTAGAAGGACGGCAGGATTGGTTGAATTGAGTTTGAGCTATTTTCAGAAGTTTTGCATGCGAAATCAGGTCATAGTTATGCATACTTTAATCATATTATTTAATTAATTTAGCGTAGAATTAAAAATTACAGATCACCACGAAATTGGGATAACTCATGCAAAAATTTGTTATAAGTTACTTGGTTTGGAATAAATTGAGTTTAAATAAAATAAAATGCAGATCAAAATTTAACTTGTTCAATTTTTACTATGCTTTTAATTGCTTTATTTCTTCTTTTATAATTTTTTAGTATCTACTAAAATATTAACAGTATTTTTCTTTATTATCAAATAAAAAATTATCTTTTAAAAAATATTTTGATGAGATTGTTCTTAGATCAATTTAGGTTAAATATCAATTTAAATTTTAATAAATTAAATTAAAATAGACTAAATTAACAAATGAATAAATCAGTAATCAATTTAAATTTAATGAACTAATTTTTTCACCACTATTTTAAAATGGCCACTATCTTATGAACGCGTCACGACTCGCGAGTCTTCTATTTTTGGAACGACATGATATTTTTCCTTCCGGATTAAATGGGAAGCTGCCTAATTCCATTACGTGGAAGCTTTTTATTAGACACACAATTTAACTAGTTAAATTCTCTTATATAAGTCACAAATATAGTTTAGAATACTTGTATTGGACAAAATTCGTGGAATCAATTACTATATATTTATATTAAGATAAACGGTTTATATCACAAAATTTAAAGTTGGACACTTTTTAAAATTATATGTAAAAGCGGAATACTTAATGTATCGGACTATCATGAGAACAAGTGATAAGAGTAGTTGTTAATGGTTATTCCTAATAGGAAATTAGTTCGTATAATGGTGAAACGTGTCTTGCTTCCCGTGGTTTAAGCATACGCCTATTCGTGTCTTTTGCATCTATTACCCCATTTTGCAACAAGCCACTTGCTATAGTCCATTCATTGTCTCTCTCACTGTATATTTTTAGGATGTACATACCCAAAAAATAATCTAATAGGTTTGGGATCCAAATACCCAATCAATATTAGTGGACTTTCTTTGATAACAAAATCAAAGGATTGTTGACCTGGTCAATGAATTGAAGTCTCAAAGCTGTTCAATTTGCATATGGAATTATGGATTAAGCAGTCAACCAAACTTCAAATAGCTAGCAATTATAGACTTTGGCAAATTAAGGCGTGCTAGGTGCTTTGATTTGGCCTGTTTGTTAGAAAATACACGTAATGGTCCAAGTTGGGATTTTCCTCGACCCTCACAATTTAGTTGGCACACTCCACTAATTCAACCAAGTAGTTGGCTAGTTGCAATTAACCCACAAATTATGTTAGCTAAAAAACAGAAACTACCAATTGCAGTGCTTTAAAGGCCAACAACTAGTTGATCATCATCCTCTATAACCGGTATATATAAATTGTAAAATTTTCTAAATGACGTGATTTTTTTATACGAATTTGATTCAAAGCAGACAATATCACACCATGTAAGAATATCTTAAGGCTATTGTGGACCAACACTCATTTCTAGTCAATATTTGTCCAGCACTTTCGCTTAAATTCAATGTTGATTTTCCACATGATTGTATTATTGTAGTATGTCAATCTCTTGAATTTACATCAGAGTAACATGGCTACAATTTGATTTAGCGCTAATTGCTCAAAATTTAGCTGCCTACAATTTCAATCTTGTAGCTTTCACGAGGTTTTGTTTGAAAAATGCTTTTCAAAGTTTCAATTTTCGACAACAACTAATCGAAATTTTGCTTAAAACTTAATTTATCGTTGCTCCTAAGAAACTTACCCAACTAAATCTATTAAAAAAGAACTGACATGTTGTAACAAACTCAATTCCAGCAGAAGCACTCTTATATATATTAATCACTGAATATGAGTTATAATGTAGAATACGCACAACAAAGTAATAATACACTAACTAAGGAGAGATAAATCGAGAAAGACGTAACCAGAAAGGGATGAGATACAAGACCATAGAAAGGAGATGAGAGGATCAGAAAGCCAAAGCTTCACATAATAGTTTTTCATCCCCATTCTTCTAACTCCTAGTCCTTTTTAACAAAGTGTAAATGGGCCTGGATCCCAAATAAAATTGGACCTATTGCTTGCTTTCGGCCCAATAGCTCTTGTCAGCCCAATAACTACATGTGTGACCTTAATATCGATATTGGGTTGGAGTTGGTTCATAACAATACTCTCGTCCTCAATAAGAACCTTGTCCTCAAGGTTCGAGTAATAGTGGTGGAATTGAGTTTGTGTAAAGAGTTGTGATAGTGGTGCAAAGATGAAACCAAAGTCTGCCATAGTCTTGATGCAGCCTTGTAGACATGCTAAATAAGCAGATACAGCATGCTCAACTATTTTCTTTCGTGAACAGACATCACCTCCTATTGCTTGCTTTAGGCCCAATAGCTCTTGTCAGCCCAATAACTACATGTGTGACCTTAATATCGATATTGGGTTGGAGTTGGTTCATAACAATACTCTCGTCCTCAATAAGAACCTTGTCCTCAAGGTTCGAGTAATAGTGGTGGAATTGAGTTTGTGTAAAGAGTTGTGATAGTGGTGCAAAGATGAAACCAAAGTCTGCCATAGTCTTGATGCAGCCTTGTAGACATGCTAAATAAGCAGATACAGCATGCTCAACTATTTTCTTTCGTGAACAGACATCACCTCCTATTGCTGCATACCTTACCTTACTCTTTGGAGCTTGGATGCTTTAGGCCCAATAGCTCTTGTCAGCCCAATAACTACATGTGTGACCTTGATATCGATATTGGGTTGGACTTGGTTCATAACACATGTGCTTGTTAAATATAATAAATATATGTATTCCTAACGTAACATACGGTAAAGATATGACACCCGGGCCTAACTCAACTCCAAAAGTTAGCTCATGACAGGAGGATTGCCCAAGTTCATATAAGGAGACCACCAGTTCATTCCCAAACCAATGTGGAACTTTTATCCACTCTAACGCCTAGTCTGACAGACTGGAGTGTGGACCGGGAGCCCAAACAGGGATGGACCTGGCTCTGATACCATGTTAAATTAATTCTTGTGCCTAACTCACACCCCGAAAGCTAGCTCATGAGGGAGATTGTCCAAGTTCATACAAGGAGACCACCAGTCCATTTCCCAACCAATGTGGGACTTTTACCCACTTTAACACTCCCCTCATGCCCATGCCCGATCGGAGCGTGGATCGAGAGTTCAAACGGGGATGGATCTGGCTCTGATACCATGTAAAGATATGAGACATGAGTCTAACTCAACCCCAAAAGCTAGCTCATGAGGGGATGATTGTCTAAGTTCATATAAGGAGACCACCAGTTCATTTCCCAATCAATGTGAGACTTTTTCCCACTCTAACACATACGCTACTCTCTTCGTTCCATATTGATTGATCATTTTTCTTTTTACCCGCATATTAGTAAGGTGATAAATTAATATGAGACAACTATTTTGAGTAAAATGATCAACTAATATATAACTATGGAAGTACTAAACAATGAAGTTGCAATAAATAGGGCGCCATGAATGGTCCAGGCATCATCTTGAGTTGTACTAGGCATTATCTTAAAAAACTATTTTAACAATACAAAATATTTTTCAAAATTAAATAAAATACGTGAATCAACAAATTAATTAACATCCGTTAGTTATTCTTGGCCTAGGAGAAGCTCATCACATTATCTTGCCACATGGAACATACTTTCAAGAAAGAGCTAGCACATCCTTTCATTTACTGTACCACTTCTCCAAGAAAAAATTTAGCTTCTTTAACACATCTTTGAAGACTAATTTAAAAGGCACACTTTTAAAAACAATTCTTTGAAATAAGCAGTAATTTACTTATATATTCATCTTACAAATAGTTTCTAAAATCATCAGTTGTGGAACTTGTTAATTGTATTTGATATGAATCACCGAAAAGATTTTTAAAAAGAGACATGAAACAAAAAAGAGAAATCACGAATTGAAGGTTTTTCAGTTAAGCAAATTATATATAATCAATAATATCATGACAATTGACAATTGACAAGAATAAAGAATTTCAATCTTTTTGGTGTTTATGTAAAAAAAATCAATACGGAGGAATTGTTTCAAAACAGTAGACCCCATCCAATTCCGGTGCAAACTTTGGCCTCCGTGGGCGCGACGGAGATTTTGAAGATGATGACGGCGGCGCCGCCTCTTCTGTCTTGTTCAGTTTACCGGTTGCGGAAGTAGACGGTGGAGAAACGGCGATCTTGCGATCGGATACAAGAGGGCCCACACCTTGTTGTTGTTTGTTGTCAGAAGTGGGCGGTGCCCAAGAGTGGTTCACTTTTTGGCCCAAAATTTCAGCGGAGAGAGCATCAAAAGAACTGAAAATTGACATCATCGTGTTGGTGTTTTCTTTTGGATCTAACTTGCAAATTAACAAATAATTTGAAACCAAGCATTGATTTGTCAATTGGTTTATATGCAATAATAATCCTTGATTAGGAAAAACCAAAACTACAAAAGTAGGAATATACCTGGGGAGTTGGGAAAGGAAACAATTGGGAATTCCTTTCCCAATTAGGATCGGTAAGATGTGGAAGTGGAGATGGGAGAAACGAATTTTCCTATAATTCACAATCTCCTATTAACGCGTATAGTTTGGATTTTTATTTTATTTTTTAGTGAAAAGTTATAATTCAAAAATTTTAATATGTTATAAATATAGTGAATGTCTGCCGTGCATTTTCTTCATTGTAAAATCACAATTATAAGCGTTCTCTTTTCTCTCTACTTTCTTCTCATGATTTCATAATATGTTATCAACATAAATTGCTCATTGTCCATTAAAAGTTAATGGTAGGTGTTTTTTTATTTTTATGGATTGGTCTCATCGTAGTTTTTTTGGATGCAAGATGTATATATGTAAAGTTTATATAATATATGTATTCTAAACTGAATTTACGTGGCTGGTCTGAAACAAATTTTATGTATAACCTGTGGTGCTGCCTCTCGTTGATTACTTGTAGCAACGTAGTGTTACAAATCTCGAATGACCACGCTGCCCGATTTTCTTTTTCGAGAATATTGCTAATCGGATGTTAATAGACCTAATGATTTAAAATTTATACTACTACTAATTTTAGTATACAACTTCTCTGCGTGCACAACAACGGGGCCACCATATTCTTACTTGCATTAGTATTATTGCTGCTATTTAATTTGAACTCTGATGTAATTGATTTATCTTTTTGTACGTATGATTTTGCAAATTGTTGTTTACAAAATTATTACCACCATAAATGATTATATTGCTTAAGTCTCGAAGGTGAGCACTATGCACTTTTGCTTATTATATTATTGGTTAAGGGTAAGATGATGGATTCAAGTTTCATTGCACTAAAAGGATAAGACGATGGATTTATGTCCAATTGCACTAAGAGGTCAAGACGATTGGATTCAGTCAAATCACACCAAGAGGGTAAGACATCATGTTATTGTATTGGTGCACCGTGATTAAAGATGTTGGATTTAAGTCCCATCAATTTATTTATGGCATAACATCCCTTTACATGGATAAGATGTTGAGTTTGAGTCGCAATGCACCATATTGATGATATAATGATGACCAAGGCCAAATAATGTGTTTTTTATGAAGATTAGTCATGAAACCTATTCTATTGAAATCGCTCAATTCCCTAAAGTGAATGTAGCTGCAGTGCATAATACGTCTGAAAAAACACAAGTGATTGAATAATGCACATGAATGTGGAATGAGGTACTAAGTTATCATAATTTGATATACTCTGATTGTATTCCAGTCAAGATGAATGGAAACTTTTGATAAATGCTAAAAATATAGATGCATTCGTTGAAGTGATGAGGTGTATACCAACCATGCTAGTTGTGAAAAAGGTCGCGACCCTTGTTATGGATGTGGTATAACCAAGAATGTCTCTAAGCAGACATGTGTTATAGAAAAATTCCTTACTTTATCTTTTGGTTTGTATTGAACAAGAATTAGTGCAATTGAGGCACATTCTATAGTAAATCAAAAGTTTACTGATTCCAATACTTTAATCGCCTGAAACATTTTGAGTCTATAATGATGAGACGAATTATAGAAAATTCAAATAGACATCCATTAAAGAACCTAATGATTCTTTTAAATGGTGAATTTTTTTGTACTCCTTGTTAGCAGGGTAAGTTAATTGTGAGACCATCACAAACAAAAGTTGAGATTGAGTCCCATGCGTTCTAATAGCGTATACATAAGGATATTTGTGGACATATTCAGTTATTCACCCACCTAGTGGGTACTTTAGATACTTAATAGTCTTAATATATGTTTTTGAAATACTTGTTTATAATCCTCATATAGATCACAAGCAAGAATTTTTCATATTGTTATGCAAGTTGATAACTCGAATTAAACTCTTGAATTTTCAAAAGGCAATAAATTATTTGCTTAAAGAAATTGAAGTGAGGAACTTGCAAAATTCTTTGATCCTGAAGGATGATTCATAAAAGAAGATAGTTCGAAACACATTTCGTCAAGCCTTTTCTACACACATGTGCTCCAAAAGAATGGTGATATCAACGTGCAACAAATTCGTTCGAGTGACAATGTGGCTGATTTTTTCATCAAGTCTCTAACAACTACAACTTTCAAGAAGATGGTGCACAAGCTTGGAAGGCGAAGATTCAAGTCTCTAGATTGATGTTCTCATTAGGGGGAGTTAATACCCGTTGTACTCTTTTTCCTTACGAGGTTTTATCCCACTGGATTTTCCTTGTAAGGTTTTTAATCAGGCAGCCTAGATGCGTATTATTAGATACGTGTACTATTTTCCTTCACTAGAGCTTTTTGTATTTTTTTTAAAGTGTTTTTTAGTAGGATTTTTAACGAGGCACATCATCTACAAATTAGATATTAAGGAGGAATGTGTTATAAATATAGTGAATGTCTATCCGTTATAGAAAATTTAGGAACCTCAACTTTGAGACCAAGTCAATTTTCCCTTTTAAATAGATGAATTTTGTATAATTATCCCTCCGGAGAAATTATAAGTCTTCTCCCTAACTTCCCCCTTCTCCCTACTTTCTTCTCATTATTATTTTATATATATATATATATATATATATATAAAACTAAAAAAAATGATCAAATTAAATTGATACGGAAGGAATATAATTTCAGTTAATATTAAAAAAATATTAAAAAGAAATACACATTGGACATAACATTGAACATGTCATGTTTCGTCTTATTTGTGCATGATGCGTGTCCTTTTACCCCTTTTTTCGGAAGCCAGTGTTATGCGGATAAGCTTGTGGAAGGATTATTTTCGCTGCAATTTTTCTCTATCAATAATTCAATATACTCATATTCTTAATTCGAGTGTATTATAGCCATACATATTATAACATGTATACTCATATGCTTAATTCGTGTAAATTATAGCCATACATATTATAAAACATGTATGCTCATCGTTCTTGTAGATATAGTTATTGTAGATATTAAAATTTTGTGGATCTTGTTAGACGTGTTTAATTTTAGTTAAGATTTTACAAAATATATTCAACTCCAATTAGAGTTTTTATAGGCTACTCAACCTTAAACCATGATTTATGCTTATATAAAAATGTCTATATGAAAAGTATTATATTTTTTTGAAAAGGTATGTCGAATATCCCATATGCACTTGAGTATTAATAAAGATCAATATTTCGAATATTCCATAACTCTTGAATATTCACAAAACGATCATGAAAACACCAAAATTTAAATTTTTTTATAAGCTACAAGTTCAAGAATTACGATCATGAAAACACCAAAATTTAGATTTTTTTATAAGCTACAAGTTCAAGAATCACACACTCAATCATTCAAATTCAAGAACAACTCAAGATCAAGACAATCAGGTTCAAGAACAAGTTCAAACTCTCTTGATTCAAATACAAATCAAGATAAAGATCTAGTTCAAACTCACCAAGATTCAAGATCAAGCTCGAAGACCCTTGGATCCAAAGTACAAGTCAAGTAAAAAGTTCATAAAAATTCAAGATCAAGCTTACAAACCTTGAAAAGATGAATTAGAGGATTCATAGAGATTGTAATATAATTGTTGTGATATTTTTCGATTTTGATTATTATTTTCTTGACACGAATTTTAGTTGATATCCCACTGAGTTGCTAGAATTTGTAGACAATAAATTTTGTGTTTAGAAACAATAATCAAGATAAAAAAAAAAATATCGCAACAATAATATTTAATTGATTTCAAATATGTGTATTACAATTTCTAGGAATATTCTGATTCGTCGGGCTCTTAAACTTGATCTTGATGAACTTATTCTTGACTTGTACTTTGGATTTAAGATCTTCGATCTTAAATTTGAATCTTGATGAACTTAAACTTTATCTTGATTTTTACTTGAATTTTATGATCTTGATCTTGAGTTATTCAAACTTTAAACTTGAATATTTGAATGCTTGAATTCTTGAACTTTAGCCATTATGAATCCCTGAAATTTAAATATCTACCGTTCTCTCCAGGTAAAAAGAGTAAAAAGAACGATAATATAGTAAGAGTACTCGTTCTGTCCTGAGATTTATATTCTATTGTTGTTAAACAAAACAAAATGAAATTGATGGAGTACAATTTATCACCTAACAATATACTAGACAATGAAGTTGCAAGAAACTGGCACATGAATATTACCAGTCATAATAAACTTTCTGGAATAAAAATTCAGTTGCAAAAATAAATTTGATCGCCGATCGCCGAAAAGAATAAATCAGAGATATAAAACAAAACGAGAAATTACGAATTGAAGTTTTACCAATAAGCAAAACAAAAGAGTGAATATGATCCGAATCCAAAAAATTGTATATATCATAATCAGTTTTCGATCTCGTAATTTTAGTAAAAGCAGAAATCAATAGGTAATGATAGTTTCGAAACAGTGAACACCGTCGAATTCCAGAGCGAATCTCTGCCTCTTCTGCTGATTTTGGGGCGAAGATGATGCCTCTCCGGCCTTGTTCAGAGAAGAAGTAGACGGCGGAGAAGCAACGGCTTGGCTATTTGTTACAAGAGTTCCAACACCTTGTTGTGTCGTGTCATGAGTAGTGAGTGCTTTAGAAAAACTCAACTTCTGCCCACAAACCTCAGCAGAAAGAGCATCAAAGGGACTGAAAATTGACATCATTATCGTTGCCGTCGGTGTATTGTTGCTTCTAGCTTGCAATTTGCTAACAAATAACAGGCAAAGAAAATAGTAGTATTTATTTGTTGATTAATTTAGGTAAGAAATAACTTGAGTAGGAAGAAAAGAAACTGCAGAAGTAAAGAGTATTATATAGTGGAAGTGGAGTAAAACTGGAAACTTCTGTAAAGTGGAAATAGAGAGAAATGAAATTTCTAAAATTATTCTCCCATTCGTTGAATTTTAGACTTTTTGAAAGATTGGTGGGTCGGCTAATTAACTTTGAAAACTAACAATTTTATCAACGCGTGTTATTTTGGGTCATATATTTTGCGAGCGACATGATGTATATCTTCTCAATTTAATTGAACACTAACTAATTCTAATTATTTATTGATTTCTCTATCTTTAATTTTTTATATTTTAATTTATCAATAGTTAAATTTATTAATTTTTAAATTATAAAATATAAAACGGAGTCTTATTGTAGTTGGCAAAACAATTTGTGATTATATTATTTAAAATATGAAAAACATTTATATCCAAGAGAGTGATAGAACTTTTTAAAGCATGGTAGTTGATATTGTCCAGCCATAGTGTTATGCGGATAAGCCAACTCAATATTGGTGGGTCTTTCTTCCATTAAAAATCGAAAGACTGCTGAAATTGGAGCACCGAATTAAGTTTGAAAGCTGTTCTACTTGTATATGCATTATATTAGCGTGTCCTCCCTATATTTTTTATTTTTTTATAACAGCCTTCAAACTGAAACAACCATGACTAAAAAGGAGGTCTTCAATTTTTCAATTGATTGAAGCAAGCTTCTGGTCTAAACTATATTCAAATTTAAAAAAAAATTGTAACATGATATTTTTATTTGATTTTTTGAGAATATTATGGATCAATATACATATATCAAAGTTTAGTAAGAACAAAATTTAATTTTATACGTATGCAGATGATGACATCAAGATATTCTATGTGTGTATCAACAAGCCTATATGAACAAGGAGTTTTACTCTGACGTAAAACAGAGCTATGAAAGAAAAAAGAGAAATTACAAACTGATATCAAAATCCATAAATTGTACGTATATATCAATCACCAAAATTTACATCATACATGAGTCATGACAATGATCATGGTAGACAAGAATAAATGAAATTTCAATCTCGTAATTTTAGTAAAAACAAAAATCAATAGGGAATTATAGTTTCAAAACAGTGGACGCCGTCGAATTCCAGCGCGAACCTCTGCCTCTTCTGCTGCTGCTGGGGCGGCGATGCCTCTCCGGTCTTCTTCAGAATACCGGTTGAAGAAGTAGCCGGCGGAGAAGCGGCGGTTTTTTGATCTGATACAAGAGTTCCAACCCCTTGTTGTTTTGTGTCAGTACTAGATGGCTTAGAAAAACTCAATTTCTGCCCAAAAAGTTCAGCAGAGAGGGCATCAAAGGAACTGAAAATTGACATCATCATCGTTGGCGATTCACTTGCAAATTACTAACAAATAACAAGAAAATAAAGAGAGTATTGATTTGTTGATGTAAGCAGTGAGTTTATGTTAAATTAAAACTTGAGTACGAAGAAAAGAAGTAGCAGAAGCAGGAGTATATATAGGGGAAGCGTATTAAAGAAAGATCTGGAAAGTAAAAGTAGTTGAAACGAAATTTCCAATACTGTTTCTCTAATTCGTTGAATTGGGTCAGCGAACGAACTTGGAAAACTAACGCGTGTCAATTGGGTCTACTTTTCATTTTTTCAAACGACGTAATGTATATCTTCTGGATTTAACTGGAAATTACCTAATCCCAATAACAAACACTTCTTCTGTCCCAATTTATGCGTCACTATCACAATTTTGAAAACTAATTTAAATTAATTTTACGTAATTTTGAAATATATAAATATTATTTAAAACTTGTATATTCAAATTCACATGATAATTTAAAAGTTTTTGAGTCTCAAAATTTAGGTGAAAAAGGGGACAGGGGGAGAATTTTTTTTAAGTAGGAAATTAGTGTAAAAATAAATGAAGGGTTGAACGTGTCATGTTTGATGTGGTATGAGACATGAATACGTGTGCTTTTACCCCTTTTTTGGAGCAAGGCCAGTGTGGATAAGCTTAAGGACTAATTCTATATTGGTGGGAGTTGGGACTGACGTGATCAATGAAGTTGAGTTTGAAACCTGTTCAACTTGTATATGGGATTTTAAAAAAAAAACTATTTCAAAAATAATTGATGCCAAAAAATAATATATTTTTAAATATAGTGTTCAATTTTTAAGAGATGTTTATTTAAATTATACTATATTAGTTTGTTTATTTCTTGTTTAAAACTTCATTTTTGTTAAAATGACACATGGACTTTTATGGGTTCTTCTAGTCAAACTTATTGAATTGAAACAGCCATGATTGACTTAAAAGGAGTTTTGAGTCAATATCTTGACGTTGCAGTGTGTTAGCAAGTAGTGAATGAAGGAATCTTCTTCGACCATGATTATTCAATATCTAGACTTAAGAATTGTTTGACAAGGGGTATAAAAATTGTACTACTGAAAAAGGAATAGTAATAATATTGAAATTAGTTATGTTCAGATTATTTTTTTATACATTATTTAATTTGATATATTAAAAATAACAAATATTACGTAATTTTCTAAAAGTAGATATTTATTTCAAAGAAAAAAAACCTCCACATTCTTCTTAGTTCTATACACTTTCAAGGCAATCATGTTTTGAAAAATTGCACCAAATATTGGATTAATAATACTAAAACTAATACATGCGTTATTTTCTCTAATATCTTCCGTGAAACACCTCCTAATTAATACAGAAATAATATAATTAATGTATATGTTACTTTAAAACCTGGATATAATGTAACGTACGGGTAATTGGTAATACCCCAAGAGTGCATATAAGGCAAGCAATCATGAAAGTGAATACACGAAAGTGATATATTTTTAGATGAGCTAAGGTTAGTCATCTGATTCTATACATCATACATGGATATTATTCCAAATGGTATGTAGCTCTCATCTGGTGTTACATACTACCAATAAATCCTATGATGAATAGCAATATATACACGTACTAATACCTACTAATCTGCTTCCTCGCACTAACACATGTAACATAATGGAAAGAATCACCTAGTATTTTTATCGTTATTGAGATTTCAATCCTGACCTTCCATTGTTCTCATAAAAATATTGGACATAAGTTGTAGGTTTTGTGTAACAAAACAATTCAGATAGGACATTGTGCGTGCCTAGTGTACCAAACCCCTATCAACATATATAACTCACAAAATCAACTGCTCAGTAGAGAGCTTACCATAAAAGATGTATGTAGTAATGTTGTATTCATATTACAGAACAATGAGAGAACAAAAACCCCAAAGCAGAGAGTAATATTTAGAGATCAAATTTAGTGTCTTAACATATTCCATCATGAAAAACTTTTGGTAAGAATTATAGCAACACAATAATGAGCAATTAGCAAATTAACCTTGTAAGGAAATTAAAACACCTAAAGCCAAATATATTGCATATTAAAAGAGAAACTCCTAATCAAACAAGCTCAATCCCAAATCCTCGTCACTGTCCTCCTTCATCTCCTCCTGCAACCACACAATCAAACAAACACGTCATAAATTGGGACAGAGAGAATAATAAAAACTACTTAATATATAAATACGTACTAGTAACATTTATGACAAATTTGTTACCTTTTTCTCCTCAGCGGCGGGAGCAGCAGCAGCAGCACCACCTCCACCAACGGGGGCAGCAGTAACAGCTACTGCTGGACCGCCACCTGTCCCAACAGTCAAAATAAGATCTTCAATGTCCCTCTTCTCAAATAGCTTGGCGAAAAGACTAGGCCAATAAGACTCCACTGAAATATTAGCTGCTTTCACCACCGTAGCAATCTTCTCTGCCTGAAATCCCAAATACAATTATGTTAATTAAAAGATTATGATAAAAGAAAAATTAATTAGCGGGTAAGGAATGATGATTATTACAGTAATGGGAATTCCATCATCGAAGAGAAGTAACGCAGCATAGGTACAACCAAGTTCCCCAACTGACATTTTTGCACAAAATTGATGAAAGTTGTAAAGAATAATAAGAAAGATTAGAACAAAAAATCAGTTTTGATTATAGAAAATAAGTTGGTATTTAGAGGACCGTAAAACGAATAGATACGAAATATTAGGGTGGAGGAGTACGTTACGGATTTCAGGTGCTACGGGTCTAACGGCTTTACACACGAATAGCTACATTTTAAACTTTTTTACTATCTTCGATATTTATTTATTTTGCTTCTTATAACCCAACTTGTGAAAGTGTCAAAACTAGTTAGATTATATTTGTAGCGTCCTTAGTTGAGAATATCAAGTGCTGATCATTTGTAAACTTTAGATCAAGCAAATGAGATATAACTATTTTGCACATATTAGTAAAGCATATGCAATTCACAAAATGCAATCAATTAGTAGAATTAATGTATAAAACATTATTTGTGGTAATGATTTACTTGCTATTTTGATGAACTGATTTAAATAATAGCTTTACTATTTTGGTGAAATGGTTAAATATTAGCTTAACTCAGTCAAAAATACTTACTTTGGATGAATTCAAGTTTCAAAGATTTTTTACGAAATTGCGTCTTAAGCTGATTACGGTTCATAAAATTTGAAACATGAAGTTACGTCGAAAAAACCCTAGCTCAGTTAAAACTTTTGTTGGAAGTTTGGCTGAGCAGTAAAAACTTTTGTTGGAGAAGATATTTTTGTAAATAAATGATTTTATTTTAACAAGTATGCAATGGATATTCTTTTTCGTACTACAAATCAAACAATCAATAAGAAATAATCCAGAATTACTGGTTGCATAACTTGTATTCAAACCAAACAACTCCTGTAGTTCTCTCTTTCCATTGAAAGGACACCCTTAATTGATGTACTAACTAGCTATCACTGAACCCTAACGCATGAACTTTCCAAGACAATTTCAGCAACAGTTGAGACATCACCATCAATGCTTGCTTTAGGGTATACAATCTATATGACACCAGCAGCCCTTCTAACGCAGAGTCTGTTGTGCACCGAGTTACATTTTTTGTATTTAAGACTGATCACTAGAGAATATATTTACGTTTTGGCGAGGTATTTTGACTGGGAATATCAAATGCTTAAACAAATACCAAGTGTGAGAAGAGACGATCAGATACAGCATCACATCGACAACAAATGAAATCAACACGCTAATGTTTTAATATAGTCGGAACTAAGTTAAGCAGAAAAACCACTGTGCAAAAGTCTACATGTTTGATTGGCCAATGACTAATGACAGCCGAGAGAACAGAGATACTGCAGCTCTCACAGATAAAACAACACATTGCTAGGACAGACCTCCAAAGGTTCCAGTCTTTAATACAGATCTAGTCCATAGCAGACTCCTATCAAACTAACAATATAGAGTTTCAGATTCTCCTTTCAAGAGGAGAACACCACTAAACAAATCTAGCGGCAGCATAAGCCACTGTTTGATCATGCCTGGAAAAAGACCATAATATGCAAACATTAGAAAAGTTCAATATGAAGCATCCAAAATTCTGATCAGGACCATTTGCAACAAGACTAACAAAAACACAAGTGATCATCCAGAGGCAAATCAAACATTAATTAAATACCAAAAAATAGCCTAACCTGCTGTGGTGATGCCGATCTGGACCTTGACGGTGACCTCGATCTCGATCTCGACCTAGACATTGATCTGGACAATGACCTGGACCTGGACCTGGACCTGGACACAGATTATGAGCTCAAGTGTTAAAAAAGCCTTGAAGATAAATTGAAAATAGAAAACAAAAGGCTATATTAGTACCTACAAAAAAAAATACAATTTTAAGTAATATGCAATGTCATATACCTGGTCGACTTAACAGGAGATGCAGATCTAGACTTTGGCGGTGGTGATCTCGAAACTGAACGGGCGGGTGATCTGAACAAACACTCAGTAAGATATCAAGAGAAAAAGGAATGTACATAAACGAGTTCATTTATTATCTGCAACTTGATCTACCTCCTACTCTTCCTTGGAGTTCTGCTCCTGCTTCTGCTCCGGCTACGACTTCTTGAAGGGCTGCCCTTGTATTCTCTTACCTATATATGAAGGGAACAGAAAATTGAAATGAGCATCAACGTAAAAATACATTGTAAATACGAAAATTCCTGCTACTACTAACTCAAGTACACATGTTCACTGAATAATTGTGTCGTAAAAATCCTAGATATCCAATACTCCCTCTGTTTCAATTTGTTTCTCTCGATTTGAATTGGCATGAAGTTTAAGAAAGTACAGAAAACTTCTGAATGATGCGCCCTTCAACTAAATATATGTATAATGTCCCAAAATGACCTTTAATCTGTGGCCTTAAACAAGCCACATGGGATGTTTAAATTAAAGAGTTAAGAATTAGAGAAGAGGCATTATTTTTTAAACCGACTAAAAGGATAGTAAGACAGACAAATTGAACTAAGGGAGTATTAAAAACCATCGAATCAGGAAATCACCACCATACCCCGTGAATATGCTGAGAGATTAAGCATTGATTTAAAATTAAAGTCTTTCCAAGAGTTTGGGTTGAAGGAAGAAAACTAAAATAAAATGTAGTGTAAAGAAAAACAAGGATAAACAAATACCCGGATGTAGGTTCTTGTCCAAGGATTCCTGAACTCAGTATCATCAAGTTTTCTTATCTGAACGAAAAGAAAACATGTTAACCACAAGCTTGGCCCTTCTCCAAAGGGACAAAATAAAATAAGAAACACCACCATCAAGGGAGTTGCAGATTAAACATTCATGAGTAATGAAACTAGCAAAACACAAGAATTACTTGCAGAGGATATTAATTAAAAAAAAAACAAATAACCATCCTTCCAATGGTTAAAGAACCAAGGAACTCGAAAGTTCAGGAAACTCAACCGTGCGATAGGGTCTAACTCCTCAAAAAAAAGAAGATAGCAATATTGAGTTTAAAACCCATTTAGATAATGAGGCAGATAAGAAACTTACAGCATATTTCATGTCTTCATAATTTGTGTAGTCCACCAAGCCAAAGGTTCCTGATATGGACAAGAAAATTTAGAACTACAGACATAAACACAGTTAGCACAAGAGCAGAATACAAATGTCACCTAAAAACAATTTTCCTGAATATTCAAATCTTACAAAAATAAAAATACGACATTTGCATTTTCATCTTGCACTTCAGTTTTTCTCAAAGGTTAGCTCAAGGCACAATAAAGGCCAAAAGACAAGCGAATTGAAGCATGGTCTCTGCCTCGCCGTCTCAGCGCTTTGCTAAGAAGCGCCAAGGTGCTAAGATGTACACCTCATTACAGCCGTGCACTGTCTCAAGGAGGGAAAAACTAATAGTGTTGGCGAAGTGATATATTAATCATTAAAGAAACATTTTATGAATGAATAACATAGTAATTAGGAATAAGAAATTGGAAATTTAACATTAAGAGAACTCCGCACTAAATCTGAAGAACTTAGAGCTAATCATTTGCATTAGAAATTTACTATGGTCTTCAAATGGTGAGATTCTTACTCTGTGTACTTAATTTATATTTTCCAATTCTTTTATTCACATAATCAATTCTGGTTTCTCTGTAGCACTTTGTTTCCTTAAATTGCAAGTGTAATTAATTGTCTTTCTTCCCTTCTTGATAAAACCCCCGCTAATTCTCGGGAAATTTTCTGATCTTAATTTCCTTGGAGATCAGAGTCGCATACATGCAGTTTTTTCACCACAATTCCAGTATTCTTGAGTATTGTTTAAAATTCACAAGTAAAAGGATCCAGTTAGATATGTCTTCGAGATGTAAGACTTGGTCATACCTTCACTGTCACGAGAAACCTCAGCAAAGCACACATCCCCAGCTTTCCGCATATGATCCTGACATATTTTCCACCAGGTTACTGCAATTGCTATAGATACAAACCACCACTGGGAAATATCCTGCCCACTTAACTTACCTTCAAATCTTGCCAAGAAGCAGAAGATGGAAGACCTCGAATAATAACTGTATATAGATGACAAGAAAAGTCAAGAGACATCTATATGATCAGGGACAATTACATAGACGGCAATCAAGACAGGAAACTTCAAGAGACATTCAAGTAAGTTATAGTGGAACCTCGGTAATCAGAATGCCGAGAAATGCCATGACGCCCTCCACCTCCACCTCCACCACCACTGCTGCCATAACTGCCTCGACGATCACTTGAAGATGATGGCCCTCTTCCTCCATGAGCAAGCTCAACCTATATCATGCATCTAAAGTGTCAAACACGTGGAAGCTCATATTTCCTACATAGATCTGTGTATCTATGAATATGAGAGAATCAAGATGGAAATTGTTCTTACCCTCAGCCTACAGCCATCAAAGTTGTAGCCATCTCTACCCCTGATGGCATCTTCAGCATCTCGAGAACTTTCAAACTAAAGAATTCGGGGAAGGGAAATGACAGATAATCAGCAGACAAAAGAAGCAATTGACAACCAGAAAGGGAAAAAGAAAAAGCAACCGACAGCAGAAGGTCAAACTTCAAACTACAGAAAACTGTATACATGTAAATATGCTAAATAAACATACCTCCACGAAACAATAGCAAGGAGGACGAGGTGGGATCTTCAACTCAATGTCCAATATACGACCATACTGCAATACAGGAGAGAATTTATAAACAGTAAGCACTTTTTAAGCTTAGGATACAGTGTTTCTTTTACAACAAATCTTAGGATACAGTGTTGCTTTTACAAGGAATCTCAGGGTATAGTGTTCGCAAGAATGTATGCTAAACCAACTCTACATTTCAAGACAAGGCTGAATGCTTCCAAATCGATGCCTCCCAACTGTTTACTCTCAATCGGGTAAACAGAATACTGGTGGTATTGAGGCAAGGAGGAGGATGCAGTGCAGGATACTAAAGAAGAAGCCTCTCTCACCATCAAACTTTGTTTTCAACCATAACTTAATATTGATACTAGTACTGCAACAGATTCTCTTATGAGACTACACTTAGGCTTTCTTGTTCTAAAATTTTACAAATAAGAGTTCAATCAAAAAATTCCATCCATTATACAGATGGGGATGGCATTGTAATGAAATTCAGAAAACAAGCATACCTAGGAATGCATTCATCTGCAATATAATCTCAAGTGATGCCGTTGTTTTTTGTTGTTTACAAGTATAACTTATGCATCGAAGGTTGAATCCAGAGCCCTATGAGCTAAGTACAATTGATAACTAACTTCTCCACAAGAAAATAAGCCTTTGCAGCTAAGAGTGTTTAAATAAGTGAATGTGACATACCTTGTAGAATAGATCTTCAACTTCCAGTTCCTTTATATCTGCTGGTAGGTTGCCAACGTAGATTGAGCGTGAAAAGCGGCCACTCATTCTCAGCAATGAAGGGAGAATTCACAGATAACTGCAAGCAGATGTAACTTATAAACAATTTTCAAGATTCCAGTTAACATTGAAGAGAAATAATTAAACAATATAATGGATAAATTTATATCATTCTGTATTTGACTTGACAATAACAGAATCGAGCAGAAAAATTCTGAAGCAAACCAAGAGAGCAATCCTTCAATTGAGCTGTGCTCCACCAGCTCCATTGCTCAAAATGCTCCATGATGCTCCAAAATTATAGATTCAAACAGAAAAATTATGAAACCAAGAGAACAATCCCAAGTTAAGCTAATGATCCAGAAGCTCCATCGCTCATATGTTCCAAGATGCTCCAAAGCAAAAATTATTTGAACTAATATTTGATCTCCTCATCCACTCAAAATTTTTGCAGATGATAGCTCTTCTGAGAGTGAGAAAGAACCTCCAACTACACATAAAACCCAAATACTCCACCCTGACTTGTCCCACTCCCCCAAATACATCCCTATGTATGATTCCAAAGCTCATTTTTGTTCCAAGCGCTTGAAATCTATCATAAAGAAAGCATTTATGTCATAAGATGAGGTGAGATCGCGACATACTAATGCATTTTCCCTTTTCTTAATTATTTTTAAGATCACTGAGAAATCATCCTACAAGGCATGCAATATATACCTTTCCTGTTTAAGTTAACATAAAACCAGTTTAGCGCAACTGATGTCATTTCCCTGAACCTAAGATAAGATAAGATTTTTTTTTGAGAAAGTTAACTGGTATTATAAACATAGAAGTACACCAATAGTGAACTCCTGTAGTAATTACATCAAAAGTATAGAGGGTTTACCAAAAAGAATCTAAACACCTATCTCCCTCGTAAACTATCTAAGAATAGGGTGATGTCCCCCGGATCCTTGGGAATAGAATGGATACACCAAAAGTAAAAGGTCACTAAAGAATTCATTTTAATGCTTTGGAAAGGGATGCTCTTGTTCTCAAAACATCTCTGATTTCTCTCACTCCATATTGTCCACCAGATGCAGGCAGGGACAATCTTCCATCTCTCCTTGTGTCCTGACTGATTTCCATCTCTATTCCAACATGCTAGGACTTCTGCAGTATTTCTAGGCATGGTCCATGTTATACCTCTCAGGTTAATGAAATACTTCCATAGTTTCTCAGTCACTTTACAATGCAAAAAAAGAAGTTCTCAAAAAAAAAGATTTCTAAGTCACCAATTGTCAGTAAAACATTGCTTGAACTTTGAACTGTGGAGACTACAAAGATGAGAATTGGATATGATGCAACATATTTTCGGAGAAAAAAGGATTTACTTTGGCAGATCGTTGTCTAAAATGTTTTTCAATATTTGGTTGGATTAAAAACAGGATCATATGGCAACCATCAAATGCGCTAGGATTGAGTTTATAGGTCCTGAATTTTAGAAAAGGCATCTTCAAATAGGGTTCTAGATAAATTATTTATTTATTTTGAGAATAAAGAGAATGGGTTCGGGATAAATTTATGTTATTTTTGATGACCATGGTGTCCTGGCCAGCTTTCTCGCACCTCGACTAATTACACGGGATACCTGCCACCTCCCACCAGCAACGAGTACCAGTACCAGGTACCAGTAACTCTGTCCACCCAGGCTATAAGCTACCAAACCCGTCAACTATAATGTGGCTCCACCCCAGCAATCATAAAAGATGGAGGATGGTATTTTGGTGAAATCTTTGAATATTAAAGTTGACAACGACCCTTATGTGTTGGATGAAGCAAGTGATATAGAGTGAGATTCAGAATATTCGCAATGGAAAATGACTTAAGTTGTTTTCACCCTTTTGGTGGTGAATTTTCAACCATTGAGGAAATAAACATTGGAGAACGATTCAATGAGTAAAAAACCATTCAATAAAATATTCTCTGTCATACCAAGCAAACCCATCAAGTATTTTTCTTATTACACGATTAGAATTTCATCTTTCAATTCCAATATTCCTATTATTTCCTGCCAAGCAAGTCCGACATGATGGTTGCAGCTCTTTGAAGGGAAAAACGCTATTGCAGTACGAATTTCACTAATAAAAAAACTATCACACTGTTATGTAACACAAGAAACATCACAAGAGATATGACCCATAAAAGTTCGAGCTTTTCTAGCAAAAGCCGACGAACAATGAGAAGCAACACCCAGGCTAAAACAAACCCTGGGATTACGAAATGAACCCATTCTGCCACAAACAGAAAACGATCAATTCGCAACACAGAACATCCAGAAAATACAGAAATAGCTAAATTCGGTAAGATTTTTACAGATTCGTAACTAGGGTTTCTTCCACCCTCGACCCTTCTCAGGGATTAACAAATGTGCCCTTATCTTAGGACAGAGCTGTGAGAAAAAAATCTACTAAATATTACCTGGAATTTCAATTTCGGCTCGGCGGAATTCTGATGAAATTGGTGATCAACTTCTTCTCCAGTTCTTGTCGGGTTCTCTCTCCTGGTGCTGTGCTGCACTTCTTCCAGAGAGTTCTTAATTTTAGGGCTTTTTTCTGGTTATAAATGCCAACGGTGTAGGATCTGTTCCATTGATTTTCACTTTTAACCCCTCAGCTTTGATTTATTTACACATGTTCCCTTTTGGAATCTCAATTTCCCCGGAGTGTTTCGCAGGGTGTGCAAAAATTAAATCGATCGATAAATCGAAATTGAAAAAAATATTATTTATTAATTTTTATTGGGTTATTGGGTTAACAATTTTCTAATGGTTTAATAAAAAAATCTATCGATTTATCGATTCGATTTTGATTTTTGAATATTGAGTTATTGGATAAATTGATAACACATTAAGACTGTAGTAATTTACTACTTTACCCGTACATAAATGTTAAATATTAGTCTCAATGCATCACTAGTTAGTAGTTACTATCTTTGCATTTTAGCCTTCAATTTATACTTCACAATATACAAAACATCAAAATCTAAAGTAAGAATTTTTTTCCCTCTTAATTTCTCTTTGTGCTACACTTGTATAATCTTTTCATGTTAGTTATTACTGTTTATATTTTATGAGCATGTCACGATTCGAGCCTACACCCCGGACGTGACACGGCGTACAAGACTCCGAAAAACTTCATAGCATTCATAACATAAGACATATGAAAAATAGTACGGAATTTAAAACTTTTAATCCATACAATCGAAAACTTTACTTAAAAACAAACAACGGAAGTCTAACTTGTCTCACATGGTCATCTAATACAACTTGAATCAAAGATAGGGTCACAGCACTTAAACATAGTCTGAAACGTAAAATGACATAAGAAACTACTAAAGACTCTCATATGTCCTCGAATCTTGAGGACTCACCACTAGCTTAGAGAATAGTCAATCCAAGTTTTACTCCAAAGAAAATCACCTTAAGATCCGGAACCTACACTTTGTAGAAAAATAGAAGAAATATGGGTTAACACAAAAAAAATGTACTAAGTATGATAGCCATGTAAAAACCATGCTTAAAAGGACATTTTGGTTGAAAACCATGCTTTATGTCAAGTTTGAGAATCATCATGCATCTTTAGTATAAACATACAAGACATAAGCATATTTATCATGTAAGTCATTAGAACATAATAGAGTCATCATGAAAGTAACCCTAAGTTATACTTGTGCAATATATGAATGGCATCCCATAATACCATTCATACTAAGTACCACTTTGAGGCCACTATAACATATTTATCATTCTTCAATCTCCTCTTTAGTCAATAATCATAGACAATGAACATTTACATTCAATAAGGCATGACAAGGAAATGAACTCATAATAACATTTTCAAGTTGAGCATTCATCATTTCATTAACTCTTTAAGTCAACATTCTCATTAGCTTCATTATGAGCACATTCATTTCATTAGACATTAAGACATTAGAGAACACACCATAGCCCTCGCAAAGCCTACTCGTGCAATACATGAATGGCATCTCATACTACCACCCACACTTCATAGAACCTCTTGAGTAACTATAGCATGTATCTCACATGATGGGAATAAACATTAACCGACATAGACCATGTGAGTAAACCATGAAATTCGGTGTCTATCCTACACCGTAAAGGGTTGGTCTACTTGCCTAAGGTAGGACCCATAACATTTTAACTTAGGTGGATCTACTAGCTAATAACTTATGTGGGCACATAGTTTTGGGATAAAGAAGATGTTCATTGAAACCCGGCCTAACATGGGGAGAGCTTCTATCTTACCATATCAACTCGGTGTCAAGCTTACATTCCCATAGAGTAGTTCATTCTCATTAACATTATTATACTTAAGAGGGCTACCACCATTAGGTCTACCGACCCAAAGTACATTACACACATGAAAGAGCCACCACCATTAGGTCTACCGATTCAAGGTACATTATTAGGATAGCTCATTGAATCCTCAAGAAAGGGCCACCACCATTAGGTCTACCGAATCAATGTTCATCATTACATTAGTAGTTCATAGACTCATCATAAAGGGCTACCACCATTAGGTCTACCGGTTCAAGACATAGCCTTAGAATACTTCATTAATCATTTATGAAAGGGCTACCACCATTAGGTCTACTAATTCAAGGTTCATTATTCATTACATGAAAGGACTACCACCATTAGGTCTACCAATTCAATGTTCATTATTCATAACAGGAAAGGGCTACAACCATTAGGTCTACCGATTCAATATTCATTAAGTCCAGATACATTAGTTAAAGAGGATGCCCTAAGCCTACCAATTCAAGGTATATCATTACATTGAAGAAATCTTTCACAATATACCATCATCATTCACAAGTGTATAATTGAGAATAACATTACAATAATATCACAATTGCATTGTAGTCATGGTCACATTACTTTCATTGAAATCACAAAGCATACACATGGCATCATGATTATACATCAATTCTTCATACTTTGCCCTTCAAGGCTATGAATCACAATTCACCAACACACCTAGAATTACTACAATTAGGCATGGATCATGCATAGCATCATGATTATACATCAATCTTTCATAATTTGCCCTCCAGGGCTATGAATCAATTTCAACCCAAACATTTAGATAAGGGGAATATCATGATTCAATAACTCAATCAAGATAGACATACTCAATTAACATGCTTCCATAATCAATCAACCCACATTCTAAATTCACAATTTAATATTTTAGGGGAATCATGGGTTCATGGGGAAATTTCATCATAAAACAACATTAATTCCTCAATTCAATCATCATTCATCATAAATCAACCTTTGAAAACGTTTTGAAATTGAACCCATGACTTATATTGAAACCCTAACTTTTGGGGGAATTTGAAAGCTTTGAAATCATGTTTTGAAGGGACTTTATGGGTGAAAGCTACCCATAGATGAAAACTACCATACCTTGACTGAAGATTCTCCACAAAATTGAAGAGAAAAGATGAACTCTTGAACTCCAAACCTTGACTTCTTCTTCTCCAATGGAGGTTTCCAGAGAGAGAATTATTTGGAGAGGATATAGTTTTTATTTTGTGTTTTTGGGAATAATGAGTTGTAAGGGGGTGTTTAATAGTTTAAAAAACCTTAAATAACTCTAAATAATCAAAACAAACCGACCCCTAACTTAACTAACCACCCTAAGAATTTACCACCTTGCCCCTTAATTAGCCGAGCCTAGGCAGATTCCCAGGTGTGATCCACACCCCTTGACCCACGGACCGTGGGTGCACTTACACCCCGTCCTGCAGGTCCGTGGGTGGGGTCTGCAACTTGACATCTCATCTCTGGACTCATGAAACCTCTCTACGAGGAGTGGATGGACCTACAGGGGTAGGTACCACCCGTAGCCCACAACTTTTTGGCAACTTAGGCAGTTTTGGGGAGCTTTGGGGGTTAGGCTTTAAGGTCTTGGTTGGTCCTTCGGGAGTCGTACCTTGACGTTTAACCTTTAAACCCCTCAACCTAAGCTCGGAAACTCATTTAACAACAAAAAATCCCACATCAAACTCAACAATACACTCGTAAGGTTCTAGTTTCACCTACTAGTTTTTCTGAGGTGTTACGGAGCATTTGCAAAGTTACATTATTGTCTTGTCGTGTCAAATTGTTAGAGAAGTCATATATTTGTTTCACAAGCATTTTTTATTGGTTAAATCGAAAAACTCAACTGTTAAGGATCAAAACTGATAAATCTAAAATCGGTATTGGTTTAGCATATTTAAAAATTGATAAAACCGAATTGATAATACATAAAATCGAATTGAATCGACCGATACACACACGTTATTTGGTAGGATGTATTATAATAATAATGCATGGATTAGCTTTGTGTATTTTTAATATTTTATTTGGTATAATTTTCACTTTTTATGTACTTTATTTGGTAATATGTTATGCATAATTAACTCCCTCCGTCCAACAATACTTGTCCACTATACTAAGAGCTCGTTTGGCCATGCGATATGGTATCATGATATGGAATCATGATATAATATCATTATATGGAATTATGAGATGAAATTGAAGTTTTGTTTGGACATGCGATATGAAATTTTCGAGTTGTATATTTTCTCATAAACATAAGAATCTCATAAGTTGTAAAACTATTAAAAATCCCCAATTGTTTATTCAATCTTAACAAATAAACAAAAAATTATAAAATCTCATAATAAATTATTACAAAGTTATTTGATCTCCACTTAAGTAATTGTTTCAACTAACTTTAATTCAATAAAAAAAATTGAATATAAATTGTAGTGTACTAGTCTTTAATATAATCCTCTCACATAGTACGGACAATTTCCTCACGCCGAACTTGCATTTCTCGATCATGTGACCGAGAAGACGAACCAACATTGTTACTTTGAGTTGTAATAAATACAAAACGGTAGAAGTAATAAATTAGGTGTTGGAGTAAATGAAGAGAACAATTTTATTACTCAACAATCGGTTGATGTGAGTTAAAATGACTATGTGTTGGTGAGAATAATAAATTTTATGTCGGTAAGAATAATAAATTTAAAAAAGCAATGATGTAATTATAAATTTTATTTACATATGAAAAATGGTTAGTAGATATAAATGTGGGGTCGTTTTAACAAAATATAAACTTATGGATCAATTTTTGTATTAAAAATATCTCAAATCATGATATGAAATTCTCATATCATGGTTTTTGGAGAATATGAAATCACATCTCATGATATGGAATCATGAGATAGAATCAGCGTAAAATCGCATGTCCAAACGTTGAATCCATCTCACGATTTCATATCATGATATGGTATCGCATGGCCAAACGCCTATTAAAAATAGACGTCCAACAATACTTGTTCACTTTATGAAATCCATGAATAATTTTACATTTAGTTCCTAATTTATCTTTATCATTAATTATAGTCATTTTCCTATTACATTTTTCAACACACTGTATTTATTACTCCCTATGTCCCTAATTACTTGTCCACTTTTAAATTGACACACCTATTAAGAAAGCAATTATTTAACATAGTGAGTTTA